CGGTAGTCCAGAAAATCCCCCTCCAAAGGGGTTGACACACCGCTAGCCGAACACCCTGCTGCAAGCTCACTGAATGGCCGGTCAAGAAAACTGAGGCCAACAGACTCAGTGAGCTGCGGTGAGCGGTTCTTCTAACGCCAGTAGATAAGTACGATTAGGTGGTCAGGTACCTACTGCGTAGATGTGTACCCTGAGGAGTTCAGGTACTTAATGTTGCTGAACCCAGTAGACGGTACCCTTAGGTGTTCGGGGTACCAAATGCTTAGGTGCGTATCCTGAGGCGCTCAGGTACATACTGTTACTAAAGCCGTAGACTGTCCCTTAGGTGGTCAGGTACCTACTGCTTAGATGTGAAACCGTGAGGCACTCAGGAACTTACTGCTCTAAGGCCGGCTCAGCAGCCCCCACATTGGGTTTGATGACATACCCAGTGGTACTCCCGGGCCCGGGCAGGTTAACTATTTAACCGCTAGTTTGGCAGGGGGCCGCAACACCCCCACCACAAAGGACCGAAACACAAAGATCAATGTAATATGTTCCCGAACCGTCATCCCGGATATGATCATCCAGAAATCATTCTAGATAATCATTATCATCCCGGACAGGCCACTCATATATTACAAAAAAGTAATTTTTAAAAGATGGTGATGTTAAGATTTACTCCTTTTGTAAAAAAGGGGTTTTCGGATACATAAATACACACATTAAAATAAATTAATCTTTAATCAACTATCTTTGGTCTAGAGGTATTTGAACTATGATATATAATATGTACATGTTACTATAATAAATTATAATCACATTTTACTAAAATAATAAATTCAAAACCCTACACAGGGAAACAACTTTTGACACTAACTGTGTCACTATATATATATATCTCTATGCTAAAATAATAAAATTATAAATAACATTGTAAAATTTATAAATTACAATCAACTGTTCTCAGACACGAGACCAGTCACATGACACAAATTCAGTGTACACTACAACCAGGCCATCTTCAGTGTCCACGACACCCTTTTCTCTCAGTGTTCCACTACGGTCCTGTGCATATCTCAGGGGTTTCCACTCCATCTTTACGTTCCTAAGTGTCACACTACGGTCCTGGCCCGTTCAGTGTAACACTCCAACCTTTTCTTCATGTAATGTCCCACCAAACAGCATCTGATGATTCCGGCCCACAGTTGATCAGCGTAGACGGTGAGTCCACAGACATCACCGGTTTAGTCAGTAAATCCTCTCCAAAGCCGGTTGACACACCGCTAGCCGAACACCATGCTGCAAGCTCACTGAATGCGGCCGTCAAGTAACTGAGGCCAACAGACTCAGTGAGCTGCGGTGAGCGGTTCTTCTAACGCCAGTGAAAGTACGATTAGGTGGTCGGGTACCTACTGCTTTAGAGTGTACCCTGAGGAGTTCAGGTACTTAATGTTGCTAAAAGCCAGTAGACGTGTACCCTTAGGTGTTCAGGTACCTACTGCTTAGGTGCGTATCCTGAGGCGCTCAGGTACATACTGTTACTAAAGCCAGTAGACTGTACCCTTAGGTGGTCAGGTACCTACTGCTTAGATGTGCACCGTGAGGCACTCAGGAACTTACTGCTCTAAGGCCGGCTCAGCAGTCCCCACTTTGGGGTTTTGATGACGTACCCAGTGGTACTGCCGGCCGGCAGGTTAACTATTTAACCGCTAGTTTGGCAGGGGGCCGCAACAGTCAGCCATTAACGAGTGTATTCAGTGCGTCCATCCTTACCAGTGTTGTGCCAGAGATGTGGAAGATGGCTAATGTGGTTCCTATATTCAAATCAGGGGATAATTCCAAACTCCTTCAAATTACCGTCCAATAAGCCTGACATCTATAGTGGGCAAGTTATTAGAATCAATTATAGCTGACATTATCAGAAGTCACCTTGAAGAGCATAACTTGATAAATGAATCTCAGCATGGATTCACGAGAGGTCGTTCCTGCCTGACAAACTTACTGACGTTCTTCAAAAGAACCCTTTGAGGCAGTTGACAGTGATAAGGAATATGATATTGTTTATTTGGGTTTTAGTTAAAGCCTTCAACAGAGTACCTCAACAGAGACTCTTAAGAAAAGTGGCAGCTCTGGGATAGGAGGTAAAGTTCTAGCATGGATTGAGGCATGGCTTACCAATAGAAAGCAGAGAGTTACCATTAATGGAGTGAAATCTGAATGGGGATTAGTCACTAGTGGCGTTCCACAAGGATCAGTTTTAGGCCCTCTCCTGTTCATAATTTACATTAATGACCTCGATGAAGGAATTACTAGTGACATGAGTAAGTTTGCTGATGATACAAAGATAGGCCGTATAATTCACTCTGAGGAGGATATCAATGAACTCCAGGACGATTTGAACAAACTAATGTCGTGGTCTGAAAAATGGCAGATGAAGTTTAATGTGGATAAGTGTAAGGTACTTGCCCTTGGTAATGAAAATAACCCTCGAAGCTATAATCTAGGTGAAGTAGAGCTTGGTCATACAGAATGTGAAAAAGACTTGGGAGTCATGGTAAGCAGAAATCTAAAGCCAAGACAGCAGTGCCTTAGTGTGCGCAACAAGGCCAACAGATTACTTGGATTTATCTCAAGAAGTATAAGTAACAGAAGTCCAAAAGTTATTTTACAGCTCTATACATCACTAGTGAGGCCTCATTTAGATTATGCTGCTCAGTTTTGGTCCCCTTACTACAGAATGGACATAGACTCATTAGAGAACATACAGAGAAGAATGACTAAAATGATTTACTGTGTAAGGAACCTCCCGTATGAAGATAGACTTAAAGCCTTAAATCTCCACTCTCTGGAGAGGCGTAGAATGAGGGGAGATATCATTGAGGTGTATAAATGGATGACGGGCATAAACAAGGGAGACATTAATAAAGTACTGAGGGTGTCGAACCAGGTAAGAACCAGGAATAATGGATTTAAGTTGGATAAATTTAGATTTAGAAAGGACATAGGTAAGTAATGGTTTTCTAACAGAGTTGTGGATGCGTGGAACAGTCTTCCCAGTGGGGTGATAGAGGCTAGGACCTTGGGTAGCTTTAAGAAGAGACTGGACAAATATATGAGTGGGAGGGGCTGGGTTTGATTGGTGTCATGGGGTACGGGAGTTATTTCTTGGGTAGCTTTAGGTAGATGTCGTTTTGATAAGGACCTGCCTCGTATGGGCCAGTAGGCCTTCTGCAGTGTTCCTACATTCTTATGTTCTAAACATTAAGACTCTCTCCTCCTCCCATCCCATCAATCATCACCAGATCTTCAATAAAGGTAAGTGTCATGTAATTGTGCATACCTTTTTCAGTTTGTGTGTATTAAAATTAATATTTCATGTGGTAAAAATATTTTTTTTTCATACTTTGGGGTGTCTTGCACGGATTAATTTGATTTCCATTATTTCTTATGGGGAAAATTCATCCGCATAACGATAATTTCGCATAACAATGAGCTCTCATGCACGGATTAATATCGTTATGTGGGGGTCCACTGTACTCTGCTCTTCTTATAACACTTCTGCTTTGTAAAAACCTCTCATAAGCTACCTTTTTCTCTTTTATCACACCCTTTACTTCATCATTCCACCAATCACTCCTCTTTCCTCCTGCACCCACCCTCCTATAACTACAAACTTCTGCCCCACATTCTAATACTGCATTTTTAAAAATATTCCAACCCTCTTCAACCCCCCCACTACTCATCTTTGCACTGGCCCACCTTTCTGCCAATAGTTGCTTATATCTCACCCGAACTTCCTCCTCCCTTAGTTTATACACTTTCACCTCCCTCTTACTTGTTGCCACCTTCCTCTTTTCCCATCTACCTCTTACTCTAACTGTAGCTACAACTAAATAATGATCCGATATATCAGTTGCCCCTCTATAAACATGTACATCCTGGAGCCTACCCATCAACCTTTCATCCACCAATACATAATCTAACAAATTACTTTCATTACGTGCTACATCATACCTTGTATATTTATTTATCCTCTTTTTCATAAAATATGTATTACTTATTACCAAATTTCTTTCTACACATAGCTCAATTAAAGGCTCCCCATTTACATTTACCCCTGGTACCCCATTATTATTATTATAATCAAGGGGGAAGCGCTAAACCCGGAGGATTATACAGCGCCTGGGGGGGGGAATGTGGAAGGCATTCAGGCTTAATTCGGGGAACTGGAGCACAGATCCAATTCCCTAAATCAAGAGCCCCTCACCAACATCAAGGAACCTTCCTTGAGGGGCCCTGGTACCCCAAATTTACCTACTACTCCCTCCATAACATTTTTACCCACTTTAGCTAAGCCACAAGGGCTATACAGCAACATAATGTGATAGATGTATGAAAAACATGGAAATATATTTAGGTGTCACTGGCAGCAAGGTTGCAAGGCTTCTGCACATTTGGGCAGGATATTTATACTTGTCATAACTGACTATGCCTCATATTTCATATAATATGGTCTTTGTTACATAGCAAAATTATGTTTCCAACACTTAGTTTTTCTCTTCCATCTCTTTACAGATGTTCCCTCATGTATTAGATCATAATTCATTATCAGATGTATCTGTATCTTTCTCATGTATCTGTGCCAGTATGTATTTAGAAAATATGTGGTATCTCTCATGTGAGGGTCTGTTCTTGTAAACACATTCCCTAGGCTCTGATGTGGGGTTTTTAAGAGCTACAAGTTAGGTTTTCTAATACTGTCAGAAATTGTTGCTGGTGAATGTAGGTATCTAAAGACAAGGCAGATTACAAGGCAAATGAATAAACAGAGTGAAGGCAGTACTTATGATCTACTCAGATCCTAATACCTGTGCATATCCATGCACTCACTGACTTAAGAGATAATAAAAAATTTTGTCAACTTTGAAATATAATTATAATTTACTATAAATTTATTTCTCTCTCAGATTGCATAGTCTTGAACTTTAGTATCTACTGATATTTTTTTTATTTTTCAGATGACAGGGAAGGATTTTCTTTAGAAGTAAAAGAGAGTGCTGGAAACAAGTGCTTAAGGTGTTGGAAATTTACAGCTGGACATGGAAAAGACTTGTGTGACCGTTGTAAAGAAGTTATCTCTGCACCTTGGTAATATGAGGAAGCTTTTGACGACATTTCTTAACTGACTAATGCAGGTCTTATGAATGCACACTTTAAATTAATTTTTGTTCAGTTATGTACAATAATTTGACCATGTAGGTTTACTTCTTTGTGGATCTTTTATCACATGCCTTTTCCTGCCACAATAGGGTGACAAAGAAACACTTTATAACACAGCTGTTTTCCACTAGAAGCATGCTGACATCCGAGTTCGGAGGGTGTATAAATGAGGAGTAGGGATTTATCCCAGAAATGATTGGAGGGATGGGGTGGAAAAAAAAAGAAAGTCTTGAGAGTTCTAGGGGTTGAGCATCCAACAGGCTCGTGTGAACATGTTAGATAAGAGTGAAGGGAGACGATTGGTTTTTATTGGAAGTGCCTTTGGAGTGTGAACAAGATAAACTTTGGGGAAATCGGTTAGCTCAGCTTGAATCCTGGAGGCAGTGTCTATAATTTGAAGGAATGGGGATGTTGCAGTTGGAGTGTAATCTCATCTGAGAAGTCAGCACACTTCCTGCAAGACAGATTAAATGAATGATGAATGTGTTTTTTTTTCTTTGGGTCACCCTGCATTGGCAGATGGCCATCGAGGCCATCTGTGGCCATCGGTGGCCTAAGCTCCCGCTTCACACACGGAGGGCCCGGGTTCGATTCCCGGCGGGTGGAAACATTCGACACGTTTCCTTACACCTGTTGTCCTGTTCACCTAGCAGCAAATAGGTACCTGGGTGTTAGTCGACTGGTGTGGGTCGCATCCTGGGGGACAAGATTAAGGACCCCAATGGAAATAAGTTGCAGTCCTCGATGATGCACTGACTTTCTTGGGTTATCCTGGGTGGCTAACCCTCCGGGGTTAAAAATCCAAACGAAATCTTATCTTATCTCTTATCTTATATATATATACATATACTTTTTTTTTTTTCAACAAGTTGGCCGTCTCCGACCGAGGCAAGGTGACTGAATGAATATATATATATATATTTTTTTTTTTCAACAAGTCGGCCGTCTCCCACCGAGGCAGGGTGACCCAAAAAAGAAAGAAAATCCCCAAAAAAGAAAATACTTTCATCATCATTCAACACTTTCACCACACGCACATTATCACTGCTTTTGCAGAGGTGCTCAGAATACAACAGTTTAGAAGCATATACATATAAAGATACACAACATATCCCTCCAAACTGCCAATATACCAAACCCCTCCTTTAAAGTGCAGGCATTGTACTTCCCATTTCCAGGACTCAAGTCTGACTATATGAAAATAACCGGTTTCCCTGAATCCCTTCACTAAATATTACCCTGCTCACACTCCAACAGATCGTCAGGTCCCAAGTATCATTCGTCTCCATTCACTCCTATCTAACACGCTCATGCACGCTTGCTGGATACACACACACACACACACCAGTCTGTTGAAGAGGAGTCTGACATGTACAGTATAGAGCTCTTTGTGCCTGTTTCACATTTGTCCAAATAGGTTCTCATATCAGTATAAATTCTGTACAGTATATGATAAAAAAAAAAAAAAAAAAAAGATAGCAATGTAAATATTATATTCAGTGGAGAAATGCTAAACTCAAAGGAGCAATACAGCACCTGGGGAAAGGAAGGTACAGTGGAACTTTGGTACTCAAACAATTTGGTATTTGAACGCTTCGTTCTGTAAAAAAAATGCTTGGTAGTCGACTGCTTGGCACACGACCTGCCAGAACTTTGCTGTAAACCGTTTCATGTTTCTTCACATTTTTTGGCGTTTTTTTTTAAATTTGTATAAACAAGTCACCATAGGGCCTACAATGATTAGTGATAACAGTCGACCAAAAAGAAAATTGGTTGGGAAAAATTCGTTCAATACTCGAGCAGCCTTCTGGAACGAATTAAGTTCGAGTACCGAGGTTCCACTGTAATCAGATTTGATCTAAGAAGCAGCTGCAGTTCCTTCGATGAAGAGCTCTTTATTGGCATCAAGGTAACCCTTTCCCTTGATTTACCACATTCTTAGTGCTAGGATTTTCGTATGACAATGCTACCTAATTCTATGACAGTTTTATTTGGCAAGGAAAAAAAAAAAACCTGGATACTTTTTTTATTGACAGTAATATCAGCTGATTCATAAATGTACATGCAATACATCAAAAAAATACACAAAAAAATTAACGTGTAATGCTTCACAAACTTTTTTTTTTTATATTTTACCCATTTTTGGAAAAGATTTATTTACTCATTATACCATTAACAGATCTGATGCAATTGTCTGTGGCTCTATGTTTACATAATCACAGTTTTAGTGCTTCCTTTTTTCCATAATAATTCCTTCACGTTGAGCCTAAAAACTCAACATTTTTTTAAATCATTTGGCTGGAATACAAATGACCTAATATTCACTACAGTATTAAATTACAAATTCTCCTGATACAGGATGCAATGCAGAAACCTTAATAACTAAAATAAAGCCATTTTAAATTGTATTCAGCTCCACTATATTTTTCATTTTAGTGTTGGGAACAATTTGAAGCTTGCAGATTTTTTACAACTGCAATCCTATATTTCATGAAAACCTTGAATTTTTCTTATAAAGTAACTGCAGTCACTTGTTTCTTGCTATAGTCAACAATTTCCAAAACATTTTTAATTATATTAACAAAAGGAAGAGCAAAATCTATGCAAGTCATTCATTGCTTCTGTAAAGTATAAGTTTATAACCATTTTTGTCTACACACATTATACATTAAGCTATATTTTCTACATTTATTTTTACCTGAATCTTACTGGTTGAGCCGAGACATTTCACAGTCAACATCCCTACCGCATCAACCAGGTGGTTAATGCTAAATTATGTTGAGAAAGAATGCCAGTAAGCCCCTTTGCATTGGTAAAGGACAAATTTCTTAAAGCAACTTCAAACTTAATTCTAATTTCTGTTCATAGTGCTTATATAGCTCAACAATGCCACAAATTTTTAATAACATTAGGCAGATGATTATTCCATCATAAAAAAATTAGTCCCAAGTTCTAGTAAGGATTTTAACTTTATAATAAATATTCAGAGAAAGGAATGCCCCTCAAGGAAGGTTCCTTGATGTTGGTGAGGGGCTCTTGATTTAGGGAATTGGATCTGTGCTCCAGTTCCCCAAATTAAGCCTGAATGCCTTCCACATCCCCCCCCCAGGCGCTGTATAATCCTCCGGGTTTAGCGCTTCCCCCTTGATTGTAATAATAATAATAATAATAGAGAAAGGAATGATTAAAAAACTCTGTATGAATCTCCTTATGTAATTAGCAAGTTATTTATGAGTACAGAATATCATTAGTGCTAGAAATACAGCAGAGCAGTTTACATAATTTGAAAAGAGCAACTGATAGGCATTTGAATACCTGTCTTTAGTTTTCTAGTAGATAATTTTGGCAACTTGTAAATTGTCTTTATGGAAGACAACACTTACCAGTCTCTTACATTAAAGGTGGCTAACTGCTTCTCACAATTATATGAGCTTATATGTTTTACAAAAATATTAAATAAATGTGTACAAGTGACTGTTTTCAATGGAATGCAGTGCATTTTCACTTCCCAATAAAAGGTACATATAATAGGTATAACTGCATTTTAAATATAAATGTTTGATGATGCACTAGTAAATGCCCCATCTCCAATTACATGCTGCACAAGAAATTATTTTTAATACCTGTTCCCTCGCCCACCTCTGCCTCTGCCTCCACGTCCACCTCTGTTGTCATAACCACGATTATCGTAACCGCCACCACCGCCGCCACCCCAACCATAGCCTCCTCCACCACTTCCACGGTTATCATATCCACCTCCACCACCTCTGTTGTCAAATCCTCGACCCCCACCTCTGTTATCATATCCGCCACTGCCACCACGATTATCAAAGCTTCTATTATATCCACCACCACCACCCCCTCGGTTATCATATCCACCACCACGGTTATCATAACCACCACCACCACGATTATCATATCCACCGCCGCCTCCCTGATTCCATCCACCCTGGACACGATCACTGCCAGAAGAGAATCCCCCACCACGGCCTCCACCGCGACCTCCACCACGGCCTCCACCACCAAATCCTGAAAAAAATTAAGTGATATAGTTATGAAAACCTGATATACAACACTACAGACACATTTTGTTTTGCCAGTTTTTTTTTTAACAGCTCATATGCTATGCTATTAAATCAATAAATTTTGTTACAATAGAGATACTCTACAGATACATTTATAAATATAAATTTCAATCCATTTTCAGTAAAGATGCAACAAACTTTTTACCACCATAGTTACAAGTTCCATATACAGTGGACCCCCGGTTAACGATATTTTTTCACTCCATAAGTATGTTCAGGTGCCAGTACTGACCGAATTTATTCCCATAAGGAATATTGTGAAGTAGATTAGTCCATTTCAGACCCCCAAACATACACGTACAAACGCACTTACATAAATACACTTACATAATTGGTCGCATTCGGAGGTAATCGTTATGCGGGGGTCCACTGTAAATGGAAAATTTCAACAACAGGTCTCTAATACAAAAATGTTTCTAGGAATTTATTTAAATATTTCAATGTTGCCTTTATAATTGCAAAATTTTTTAATTTTGTATAAGGGGTAGAGTTGTGTATGATTTAATTACAGTACATCAAACCTTCCATAATGGAATGCTTAAAGTACTGTACAATTAATGGCAGATGAACATGAGGGCAAAATGGGGTGCAGCTGTCCTATGGCCCAGAGGTGTATAAAAATATGCTTTAATATTACAAAATAAATACTGCCCCTAATTTCAAATTAATTCATGTAATTTGATTATGCATCAATGATAATTAATTATAAGCATGAATGTTTTTAGATATAAGAAAATAAAGAAGGAACACTGCAACAGGTCAACCGACCCATGCGAAGTAGGTCCATGCCATCCCCCAGCTTGGAACAATGACCACCTAGTCAGGTCACTTCCACTTATGGAAGGTGCACGACACCAGACCCGGTAGCACAAACTAGTCAGGTCCAACTCTCACCCACGCACACCCACTCATGTGTTTATCCAACCTATTTTTAAAACTATACAGCTATGATGGTACTCGGGAGTTTGTTCTTCTCGTTCAAACCAGTACTTTCCTATCTTCTTCCTGAATCTGAACTTTTCCAACTTGAAACCATTGCTGCGAGTCCTGTTTTGGCTGGATATTTTAAGCACGCTATTTACATCCCCTTTATTTATTCCTGTTTTCCATTTATACACCTCAATCATTATTATTATTATAATCAAAAAGAAGTGCTAAACCACAAGGGCTATACAGTGCTGCAGGACAGGGAAGGAAGCAAGGGTATCGGGTGGCAGAAGGGGGGAGGGATGATTAGTAGGTTACAGAAAACAGCGGGGCAGGGGATAGTGCGGGGTTAGAGGGTAGCAAGAGATTGAGGTAGAAAGGGCTGAGGGGAGTGCTAAAGGTATCATCACCAAAGTTTGTGGAGTAAGTCAGTCGTTGTCAAAACGTCAATGAGAGTGTCCGGATGAAAGGTGGGTCCATCAGCAAGAAGGGAAGGTAAAGAGAGAGCAGCAGAGCAAAGACGACGACGGAGGTAAATTCTGCGTGCTCGTTGATTAGAGTGGGTAGTCAACAGAATGTGGCTGACCGATACTGGAACCTGACAATTCTCACAGAGAGGAGCAGGGTGCCTCTCCATGAGATATCCATGAGTAAGACGAGTGTGGCCAATGCGAAGGCGGGAGAGAGTAGTCTCCCAACCTCGACACTGATGACAAGAAGACGGCCAGTAACCTATACTCGGTTTAACAGAAGTTTGTTATTGAGCAGAGCAGACCAATGTTATTGCCAATGGGTGTGAAGGTGGGTAGCTATAACAGCAAAATAGTCCATGAATGGAACACCTCTATATGAAACTGGAAGGTCATATACTGCTGACTGCGCAGCAGTGTCTGCCTGTTCATTGCCCTGTATGTCAACATGACCAGGGACCCAACAAAAAACTATCTTTATGTTTGGTAGAGATATGGCGTAACCAAAGCTGGATACGGAGAACTAGGGGGTGAGGTGTATCAAATTTTTGTATAGCCTGTAAAGCACTAAGGGAGTCCAAGACAACCACAAATGATGACACACGTAAAGATGCAATACGGATAAGTGCTGCAAGAATGGCATATAATTCAGCAGTAAAAATGCTAGCCGAAGACAGTAAATGCCCTCACACGACGCTGTCCGGAAACACTGCTGCGAATCCGACACCGTCAGAAGACTTAGAGCCATCTGTGTACACTGCGATGGCATGAGAATGAGAGTGGAAGTGGTCAAGAAAAAGAGAGCGGGAAGCTACCGTAGGTAGTTGGGCTTTTGAGCAAGGGAGTGAGAAAGAACAGACTCAAACAGCTGGAACTTCCCAGGGGGGTAGGGAAAAGTGAGATGCTACATGAACATAGAAAGGTGGCAACTGAAGGGAAGACAAGAGTGAATGTAGGCCAAGTGAAAAGGGACGGAGCAAACAGGGGCGGCGAACAAACAAAGAACGTCTACTAAAATCGATGACTATTCTATAAATGGAAGGATTGCGTAGATCATGAGAGAGTACATAGTAGCAAAGGCAATGGGCATCACGGCGATCGGACAAGGATGGAACATTCGCTTCTGCATAGAGGCTCTCAACAGGGGGAGAGCGAAAAGCACCAAGGCATAAACGTAATCCCTGATGATGGATGGAATTAAGGCTAGAGAGTAGCAGGAGAGGCCGCTGAATAGATCTGGTCACCATAATCGAGTTTCGATAAAATGAGGGCTGAATGTAGGCGAAGGAGGGTTCAACGATCAGATCCCCCATGAAAGATGAGCAAGGGTTTTAAGAAGGTTCAGCTAGCTGTGACAAGTTGCCTTCAGAGAGGTAATGTGAGGTTTCCAGGATAACCTACGGTCAAAGAGAAGGCCTAGAAACCTGACTATCACGTTCAGGGATACGCGAGCCATAAAGGTACAAAGGATGATCGGAAATGACAAGAGCGTCTAGTGAAAGTACAGTGGACCCCCCCCCGGTTAACGATTTTTTTTTCATTCCAGAAGTATGTTCAGGTGCCAGTACTGACCCAATTTGTTCCCATAAGGAATACTGTGAAGTAGATTAGTCCATTTCAGACCCCCAAACATACACGTACAAATGCACTTACATAAATACACTTACTTATAATTGGTCGCATTGGGAGGTGATTGTTAAGCAGGGGTTCACTGTAATTTGGCGAGTTTTGGTACTGGAAAATTTAAACCCATGCGTGGTGGCCCAATTAGAAACACTGTTGACCGCATGCTGGAGAGAAACTGTAATGAGGTGACAGCGCCTGCACAAGCAATAGTGAAGTCATCAACATAGAGTGATGACCAAATATTGGATGGAAGACTAGAGGCCAAATCATTTATAGCAAGGAGAAAAAGTGTTGTGCTCAGAACACATCCCTGGGGGGGACAACCTGCAAAACAGGAGCCGGGTCAGGAGAGTATTTACCACTCAGTTTCCGTACTTTTTTCCAGACTGCACTCAGAGGAAGCCGAGGTGATGGTGGAAACAATCTTGCCAGCGTGTTTAGCGTCACGGATGACACGGCGAGCGACCGCTCGCTTCTGCTTAAAATCAAGAAGTCTCTCTGTGGCTCTATTGTATCGGTACCTGCCCCACGCAGCGCTTTTCAAACATACTGCCCAAGCACAGGCAGGAGACCACCATTCACTAAAAGCAGTTAGTTGCGAGTAAAGGTCCCAATTTGCTCGATCAAATTGCCAGCGAGGGCTACGAAGAGGTGGTGAATATGGAGGAGAAGTAAGAATGATTGGAAAGTGATTGCTGTCATGTAAGTCCAGTAGAACAGACCAGGCGAAGTATAGTGCAGTGGAGGAAGAGCAGACCAAGAGATCGATGCAAGAGAGAGTGTGAGTACGAGGATCAAAATGGGTGGGGGTACTCGTATTTAAAAACATGGAGGGGGTGAGAAGCGAGAAAAGCCTCTAACTGAATGCCGCACGAGTCACAATGAGGCCCCCTCCAGAAGAAATGGTGGGCATTAAAATCGCCAAGTAACAGAAGTGGTGGTGGTAAGGATGAAACAAGAAAGGCAAAATCTGGGATAGAAAATGCCCAAGAAGGAGAGAGATATAAAGAACATATTGTAAACCACCTCTTGGAGAGACATTCTGAAGACCCCATTAAACCTTTCAGGGTTTTGGCCTTACTAGTACGGCTTACGCACCAGGGTTTTTGACGTACTAGTACGCCTAAATTCTAGCGCCCTCAAATCTAGTGAGAGAAAGCTGGTAGGCTTACATATGAAAGAATGGCTCTATGTGGTCAGTGTGCGCGGTATAAAAAAAAATCCTGCAACACAGTGCGCAATGAGAGAGAAAAAAAACTTTGACCGTGTTTTTGGATTAAAACAGCAACTTTGCACTGTATTTTCGTATGGTATTTATTGTTGTATTCTAGTTTTCCTGGTCTCATTTTATAGAATGGAAGACATATTACAGAAATTGAGATGATTTTGATTGGTTTTACAAAGAAAAGTACCTTGAAATTGAGCTCAAAGCAGCAAAAATGTTTGATTTTTACCAAAGTTCAAAAGTAAACAAATCATGCTATGCGTCCAATACATGTCAACTGGCGAGTCTAATATTCTTTCACAAGTGCACTGATATTATTTATACCATTTCTACACCAATGCAGTGGTCTACATAACAGTAAATCTATTATTTTGTGAGAATGAAAATTCAAAGTGGAAAGCAAAAGAATGTAAGAGGGGCATGGAGACATGACTAATGAACAGAGGAAATGTTATTTTAGTGCCAGGAATGTCTTTGTTTATTCTGGACCGTATTCGGAAATTGGCATCTTTTGAAATTTGTGTAAAATTGGCAAAATTGCTAAATTCTGACCACTGTATTAGATAGTTGAAATCGGTAAATGGGTGGTTTCTTGTACTCATTCAATAGAAAAAATGGAGTTCTAGCGAAATAGTTATGATTTTTGTCGACAAGTACACTGGAATTGGCCGAAAATAGGGCTCAAAGTGGGCAAAA